TTTCAAATTGTGGTGCTGGGGAAGACTCTTGAAGAGTACCTTGGATTGCAAGGTAATCAAACCAGTTTATCCTAAAGGAAATCAACACTGAGTATTCAGTGGAAGGACTGATGCTAAAGCTGAAGCTCCAATACACCTGATGCAAAGAGCCAACTCATTTGGAAAAGATGCTGGCAAAGATTGAGGGCAGGAGGAGAAGGGGGTGACAGAGGATGAGATGCTCAGACAGCATCACCAAGTCAATGGACAGGAATTTGAGCAAACTCTGGGAGACAATGAAGGACAAAGGAGCCTGTCATACTCTAGTCCACGGGGTCACAAAGAGTCAGACGTTACTTAGCAACTGAACAACAGCAAGACATCTACCTGCCCAGGGTGGTCATGAAGACCCAGCAGTGCCTTAGGTAGACTTTTTGCAAATAGCACTCTCTTGCTTTTGCTTCTAGAGGAACTGGTGCTGCATCAGTCAGATTGCCTCTCCACGCGCTCCGCCTGCACTGTGACTGAGAGCAAAGACATCTCTAGCCCCAAAGATAGAGCTTGCATACTGCTGTTCATTCTGTGCACAGTTTAAGGGATATTTTGCAAGGAGATAAACTGCACTTTCTTGCAGTTGGAAGTTGGCTTTATAATTCTTTAACATGAAGATAATGCCTGCCTCATAGCATTGCAGTAAAAGTTAAACCAAACAAAAAGTGGAAACTTCTTAAACTTTTAAAGTTTAAGAATATGTTGTAATTTGCTTCATCCCCAAGACTTTTAATAATAGTTTTACTGACAAAAATTGCAAGTGCATGCAAGAGGATCTTCTAGCTCAGGGAAAGTATGATACATTTACTTTTCCCCTTTAATTTGGCAGATATTTTTCTACAGAAGTACAGTTATAGCTCTATATAATTTCATTGTCTATATTTTAATTATCAAAACTAAATGAAATGCATTCAGGTTTTAATTCTGCTTGCAGAATCAATATTCAATCACAACTTTTACTGCTAGTTTGAATTAACCTTTGAACAAATGAAGGGAAACAATATTTTAAAACTTTCAGAAAATTAATGATATTTAAAGACATCTTACTGTTTATTTCATGCTTAAGTATATTTAAAACTAGAATGGTAAGACTAATATTCTAGTATATTAAACAGAAGAAAGAGAAAATACTCCCTAAGCCATCAAATATCCACAATTTATTAAAGAAAATATTGAAGATTTTTAAACTTGGCATTCTCTACCAAAGACCAAGATGGTCTAATTTTAATATCTGAAGGCTAACAGAGATTAGCCCTTCTATTATGACAACTTCAGCTAATTAGAGGAGATAGCAAAGTTCTATTTCTTTTTATCTTTTCCTCTTTACAACTTAGTAATGATTAGATCTCTACATATAAATAGAGCAGTGAGATTAATGCCCATTAAAGATGTTTGTGCATGCATGCCATGTTGCTTCAATCATATCCAACACTTTGTGACTGTATGGTCTGTAGCCTGCCAGTCACCTCTGTTCATGGGATTCTCCAGGCAGAATACTGGAGTGGGTTGCCTGGCCCTCCTCCAGGGGATCTTCCTGACCCAGGGATCAAACTGACATCTTATTATGTCTCCTATATTGCAGGAAGGTTCTTTGCTGCTAGCGTGTTCACCAATAAAGTAATTTTAAAAATAGGCTACCATATTATTGAAACACAGACATGTAAATCAGATGCATCAGACAAAATCAAAATGAAGTCAGTCAGAACTAAAAACAAAGGCAAGCACAGGACTTACAGCTAACTGGGCAGTAAGCAGGCGTAGTAGGAGACAAGGAATTTGAAATAAACTGTGCTTTATCCGATGTGTGTTTAAAGATGTTATCCTAGAATGCTCTTGCCAGATGAAGATTGAGAAGCTAATGGAAAAACAAAAATGCTGGGAGGTACCACAATAGTAAGAGAATTTGCTCTTTTCCCAGGTTTTGTCTTTTACCATATATATATGAAAAGTGCTGAATGTCTCTGTAATTTTTTTTCAAATGACTGCAGAACCTGGAAGAACTGTTACTGCTATTGATGCCTGCATGAGTGTGCGCTAAGTTGCTTCAGTAGTGTCCAGCTCTTTGCAACCCTATGGTCTGTAGCCTGCCAGGCACCTCTGTCCATGGAGTTTTCCAGGCAAGAATACTGGAGTGGGTTGCCATGACCTCCTCCAGGGGGATCTTCTATTGATGCATAACATACTTCTATTGGTTGCCTCATATATAGGTGGATAGATAGATAGATATAGATATATAATTTGAATTTTTTGAAACTTTAGCTGTGCTGTCAACTTTAGAAAAAGTATCCCAGTGTACTGTTTTGGGTTGGCATCAGACAGAAATTAACAGCCATATTGGTCTAGAAATATTAAACATAATTTTTCCATTTGAATGGGGTGGGGGGAGGGCACACTGTCTTAAATATATGGGTTTGATTATAGAAACTAACAAAGTATTCTCTAAATAAAAATAAAATAAAATGAACTTCAAATGTATAGAAGGCAGAGCAGGGTGGTGGAGAGTGAAAGCAAGTAAGCCCTGATGGACTAGCCAGGGCTGTTTCTCTGTTTTTCTTTTGCCGATGCTTCTGTCCTCAGACACTCGCACAATACACACAGCAATCAGAGTAATCAGAGACACTGTGCTCTGATCTCAGGCTCTGGAATGCCCGTACTTTGGTCAGATGTGTCTGCTGGCACTGCAGCAAGAAGGGAAATGAAGACTGAGCGGAGAAGGCATGATGGAGTCTGGGGTGAGGGCAAGCGGAGTTTGCTTGTGCCCTAGGCTTTTCTCCCTGGGTGGACTTAATCTTAAACATATTATGGGATACAGCTTGGAGTTTCTACATAGTAAACATTTCCACTTCTAAACAGCTGCATTTGTGTTGGCACAATTCTCAATCAATTTGATATACTATCCAGTTGGGCAGAGAATGCAGAATTCGGTCCAGAGGGAAAATAACATTTTCACATGGTTCTCTGCTTTTGATATTTTAAAAATGGATCAGTAGATTAGGCTAAACCTGCCACCAAAATGCTGAGGGTGTAGTGTTATTCCTGCGGCTTAATAATGCTACTGATTTTCGCAGGGAAATAGTTTTGATGGTCCCTTGTAGAAACAGATTTAAATGTAACTAACAAATCTAGCCAGGTGAGGCTTAACAAGAATCTCAATAAGGTAAAACACAGTCATTAATTGGATTAGCTTAAATCACTTATATTTTGAACCACTTATCACTGATATTATTTCTAAGATGTGTAAAGATATTCAATAAAATGGAAATATTTTTATGATTGCTTTAATGAAATTATTTAATATATAAGACTGAATTCCTGGTAACTAAATGCAGTCACATAGAGATCGTATCAGAAAATATGGACATAAAAAGTTACCAACTTTTTGAAGAATACACACAGAGAAAGTCTCTAGGTCTGCCCAATATATTGCAAACCTTATGTGTAGTTAAAATTTATCTTCCTTTAAAGTCTGTTCTGAATTTCATTCTTTTATCACATCAATTTTGGATGCTCAATTTTCATGGCAAATACTTGATCCACATTTAGCTCTCCTTAAATTTACTGTTGGAAAGTAGATTCATAAACATCAGTTATTCCAAACATACTTAAAAGTTTTCACATAACCAAGTTGACCATTGGCTTTTAGATTAAAATTTTCCTCAATTAAAGTTAAATAAAATGAAAATTCAGTTGCTCAGTTTTACTATTCGCATTTTAAAATTGCTAACAGTGACTTTAAAGGCTACTGTATTTGACAGATGGTTAATCTAGTACACCCCTTTCAAAAATCTGTTTTTAAGGTCAAGGAGACAGCACTGAGGATTAGCTAACACAGCTTTCCAAAATTAATACCTTCAAGTTAGTTTTTAAGGCTAAATAAATAAACGCACGAGTGAGTTTGGACATTGTTAGTTGGGCCACATCGTGTATTAAGCTCTGTACTACAAATTAATATTCTTGATTTGGTGAGGCAAAATGCTTAAACTGGTTATTCAGATCAATAGAGCAAGTATGCACAAAATTAAGTCTAAAAAACATTTTTGGTATTAATGCAAAAGTAAACCTTAATACAACAAGAGAGGATGCAATTCTGACCGTAACTGAAGTAACGTAAAAAGCTAAGCGCATTTGAGACTGTAAACAGGTCAGGGAAGGTGTAAGCGGAGAAGAAGTGATCTGACTCGTCCTCTGATCACTCCTCTTCCATGTGCAGGGGGCTACAAGATTTTCCGTTGTCTGCAGACAGCACTGGTTTTTCACGCTGGTTGTTTGACTCACAGGCAGCCTGCCTGTTAGGGATTGAGCAAAATTGCATCATTTATATGAGAAGAAAAGGGAACCAACAGGTCAGAATTATACCAAGGGAATTTTCTGGTCTCAGACACAACTTGGCAAGTTTACTTTGGATGCCTGGGAAAAGTATGGGGAGTTTTAACTTTGAAAAACTGTCTTTTATATATGTATATTTTACATTTCTGCACTATTAAAAACAGAGGCACTGACTGCCCTGTTATAGAGCACAGTAATTCCCTACCTACGAACAAATTCCCTTCCAAGAGCATGTGTGTAAGCCCAACTTGTTCATAAGTCCAACTGACACAATCTATATAGTACCGTACTGTAAGACGCTTTGGATTCTTTTCACACGAATAATAAAACCATATTAAATAATAAGGCACAAACACAAAAATAAAACATTTTTAATCTTCTAGTAGAGTGGCTCGCAGAGTGCAGCAGGACAGCCGGAAAGCTGGCCCACTGGGGCTGGCATCGAGCGAACAGCAGGAAGCGTCACAGATCGGAGACGGCAGGGGAGGTGGCGGACGGCAGCGCCGCAGGATCAGAGACGGCGGGCGGGCTGCGGCCTGACGTTGATGACACAGCTTCCGGCTCCTTGCTGGAACCAGACGAGTGTTCACCTCTTAGTTTTTTGTTTTTTTTTTTTTTTTTTTTTTTTTACAAGGCTGGCACCAAGAGTTCTAGGACTTTTAATTTGTCCCAAAATTGCTGAAGCAAAAATCATGATAAAACATTCTGCTTTCCTTTACACCCCCCAACGCAAAAAAACAAAACAAAACAAAAAAAACTCCGTAGGAAAAAAACGGTTTTGTACATGGGAAGAAACAATATAAATTCAAAACTTACAGATAAGGGTTAGCTCTATCACTCATCTCTTTAAAAAGTTTATACGAATATCCAGTCAACACCAACAGGGTTATCTCCCTTGAAATGTTATCTATACGGATTTCCAAGTAGACCACAGGGCTGTATACTGTCTTGGAATGTCCTCAGAAGGCTCTGTCATTGATCAGGTAACAGAGTAAAAACCCCAGAGTCCTTTCTTTCAAATGGAAGAGGGAGAGACAGGGATAGAAGAAACTATTCAAACTTCGTCTTCTTTCCTTGTGGCTTGTGGTCTCCTCCTCCTCCGCCGCCTCCTCGGAAGCCTCCTCGCCCTCCAAAGCCTCCTCGGCCTCTGCCACCAAATCCACCTCGGCCACCTCGGCCACCACCTCGGCCTCCAAAGCCACCTTCACCCTTAGGTTTGGCCCAGTCTAAAGTGACTTTGTTTCCATCGATTTCACCATCTTCCATGGCCTCCTTGGCAGCTTTGGCATCTTCCTCACTATTGAAGTCTACAAAACCAAACC